CCAATCTTTTCCTGACCAGTCGAGGGAGTGAGCATGTGAAAGCATTGCCTGGGAGTCCATGTCATCATGCAATGTATAAATAATGACCTATTGCATAGTGTAATTCTACATGAAGGCAACATCCATCACCCCAAACCTGGGCCAACACCATAAACACTAGGGATTAAAGGCAGCACCAAAGTTCCATAGATTTCCCTTTAGCGCTACTCTTGAGGCCCTTTCCATCTTTATTTCAACATTGGTTATTGCAAGCATATCCTGTGTGAAGGGCGCTTTTTAAATGCAAGTTGATGGTGTTGCTGTTGGTCCAGTTTGCTGCAAGAGATATCGTTGCCACTTAGTAAATGTGCTGATGTCAAAGCTCGGGCTGCATGATCATGCAATTCCACTGGCTTACATCTATCTGCCTATTAGCAGCTGAAATCAAACCCATCGCAGAATGTGGTCGTAGGGTTTTCACCTTTTGGGACGTCTTTCCGATGTGAAGGATGCCATACAAGTGTAATTTATTGTTGTTGTTGCTGCTTGAGTTTAGTTTCCAGTGGCAGTGTTGTAAGCTGAAGTAGGCACGAACGAGCAAGAGGACTATTCTTTATTAATAATTTTTATCCATTCTGGATATTATTTATTACGAAGCTCTACAATCAGTATGAAGCACATTGCAACATCATTAAACACGCTTAATTGTTCAAACATTACAAGGCTATGAAATACTTATTTATTTGCGTGCATTATTTACAGGATATTTTGTTTATACGATTTGAATTTTTTAATGCATTATGCTAATGAAGTCTACTACACAGGGTGCTAGACGTCAAGATAATTTATTTGACTTTCGGTTGTTTCTGTGCCATCAGTAATGAAATATGAAACGTTAGCCTGGCTCGGTAGTTCTTAAACTGTAAAGTGTGGACCCTGCCAATAGCTTGTATTCGTATTGACCTTTTCCCATAAAATAATGTCTCAAAGTGATTAACATGAGCAGTCGACACTGAACAAGAAGTTGGAAGAATTTCGAGGTGACTAACATCATGATTAAAGGATAGGCTTTCAGTAGATTTTTGAAAGCAGTGCAAGAGATAATGAGGCAGGGATTTTGCCCAATGATAATACTAATTTAATACATTTGTTAAGCAACTGAGGCTGTAAGTCATTTATCTTAGGATTTGTACAATCTTCAATTGTGATAATTCAAGTCCCTCATTCCTGGTACCATCTTGGTAAATCTCCTTTGCATCCTCTCCAAGGCCTTGACATCCTTCTTAAATTGTGGAGCCCAGGATTGAACACGGTACTCTAACTGAGGCCTAACCAGTGTTTTATAAATGATCATTATAACCGCCTTACTTTTGTGTTCTATGCCCCTATTTATAAAGCCAACAATCCCATATGCTTTTTTAACAGCTTTATCTACCTGTCCTGCCACCTTCAAGTGCTTATTGATGGTACAATCTTAAAGGGGGTGCTTATGTGAACAACAACAACAACAAAATGACATTTGTATAGTGCCTTTCACGTCAGGAGGACGTCCCAAGGCACTGGACAGACAGAGTTACAGACCCAAGCTGAGGGTCGGGGTGGGGGAGGGTGGAGGGCAGGGGGACAAGCAGGGAGATCGAAAGCACGGTCGAAGAGGAGGGTCTTGAGGTGGGTCTTGAAGGTTGCGAGAACCCCCAGGTTTCTCTGCTTCTGCACCCCCTTTAAGATTGTACCACCAATAAGCACTTCAACTCCATTGCCTAGGTTTTACTCAGCCTGCAATTTTCATTTGTAAACCTAAATTATGGATCTCTCTCACACTAGCGAAAATAATCACAAAAGCTGCCCAAGACAAGAATCTATCAATTTCCCCCTGCGCAGCGAAAATCATATTTCCATTGATGGAATGGATATACAGAAAGCTCAAATGGAGATTTACTACACAATAGGGGTTAACACTGTCCTGTAGGCATATTGCTTTAGCCCACAGGGACACGGAACCAGGGAAATAGATTTATACACAATAAGTGGCTAGAATTCCCAGGTTCAACAATATTTGAATCATGGGATGCCAGGATCGTTACAACTGCTTGCCACATTTAGAGATTTACACACTCGTTAGGGATTAGTAGAAAACTGTTCACTGCAGTCTCCAAAATGCAAAGATTGCCATCATGCATAAACTACAAAAAAGCTGAATATTGAAAATGAGAGACGGATGCTCCGAGAGGAACAGCAACAGTTTCTAAAGTCACAAAAGTCGTGGAGTTAAAGAAAAACAAAAGCCTCATTAGATTTGTTAATGCAAAAACGTTACTCTAATCCCCCAAAGTATTACGTTAATACCAGTAGAACCTAACAAAAAATATCCTGTCCGCATTCATTAGATTCATTTATGTTAACTGAATACTTTTATATGTAAATTCCTGTTAAAGGGCAATTAAAACCAAATTCGAACAGAGTAGCTCTGATAGCAAGCAGCTAACCTCAAAGACAAATAATTTGAAAATTCAAATCAGGGATATGATAATCAGAAAGATTCAACATGCACTTTCAAAAGGTGACACTATACCACATACATAGATCGAAAAATGGTTCCTTACCTATTTGTAATAGACCCACATTTAAATTCTTCACACTTTTTTTAATAAAATCTTTGTGATTTTCTTTTTTATTTGCCCAAATACCTTTCTTTCTTTAGTTTCAAATATCTGGCAATCCGAGCACGCTCTGTGCATGGTTTTATTTCTATTCTCTGCACTAACATTTAACTCCCTCCCGTTCCTAGAGTCAGTGACCCAAACAATTCTCGTCCACCAACAGACAAAACAAACATGAAGAACATGGGTAGAAAAACCTGCCAAGGTTACCTGCAAGCCTAAATGTTTAAGTTACTTAACTGCATTACTGCTGGAAGATTCTATATGATGTTGCACCACTTTTTAATTCAAATATATTTTTTAACTACTAAGGACAGCTGAAGTAATTACTGCAAAGTCCTTGATCACAGGAAGATGGCAGACGCCAGCATTATTGCAGCCATGCAGATAGAAATACTCGTTACCACGGTCATGGTAGGAAGCATCAAGTGAAACTGGTCTGTCAGGACTGGGCTTTGTTGAGAAAGGGAAGAAACACCATCAAGCAGAACAGAAAGTTTCTGTTGTAAGCAGCTATTGTCTTGACAGCTCTTATAGGGATTGTTTCATTCATTTCTTAACTTCATACAAGAAAGTTTAAAAATATTAGTATGGGACACTTGTTTGTGGAAATAAATTTGAAACAGGAATTTGTCCCTCTCTTCACAGTAAGAAGGCACCCTAGTTATAACGCCATTGCTGTACTGCAAGCCTGCCATTGGTTTTATTCTCTCTTATACGGCACACACCACCCCCTTATAATGATAATAATACTTGCATTTGATATAGCGCCTCACCATGTCGTTGAGATGTCGCAAAGAGCATCACATGATATACTGCAAAGTGAATTGACTGTATATTTTGTGGGTGGAATGTGGTAGCCAATTGCGCACAGCAATGTCCCACAAACAGTCCTCCCTCTCATTCTCACAAACCGTGCTTTTACCAAAACAACCTAAAATAGATGTCTTTACTCTGTGTGCTATGACTGCTGTATAAATCCACACCTGAGAGAACTCTGGTATCATACACATAATGGCTGTGACGTGGATCCATGAGATTTTGCAGAAGAGGCTGCAGGAATGTACTTACTCATCATATTCTCTGTCAACCATTGGATTTGACAGTTAAAGATTGAACATATTTTCCAAGGGCAATGTGCTCAAAAACTGAATGCTATATCTCGCAGTCAGCAGTGTGTTACAAGGCTACAAACCTATCCAACTAACCATTAGAGGTATTCTGTTGGATAATCAGTACAGTATTTAGCTGAACACAATAAACATCTGACCTGAAATTCTAAAGACTTTGCACAAATTGTGTTACTCTGTTCTGTTAACACTTTCTGCTTAGGTTAGACTAAGTTATACAGTTCATACATTTACCAATGTTTAACATTATAAAATGCAACACTTTTAACATTTGGAACTAGTAACTTAACATGCCTAGCTACCTATAGGCTGTAAGTAATTAGTGCAGCATTTTCAAGTCATGTTGGAGAAGCAGATAAATGGTTTTCGAACCAACACAAATTGCACTTCAGTTGTACTATGGACACCACCTGGCGGAGGGGGTTTCAGTGTTAGTCTCACCAAATGAAGTATAAATGCAATGTTTTCGCACTGGGCTCACTTCCCAGGGTTCGATAAAAGCTCTTAAGAGGGCCACTGAATAGCCATGAGCTTCTTAAAAAAAACCCTGTTCGTTAATATTATTAAATAGTGGATCATCACATAACTACCTCCTAATTATTATTAATAATAAAGAAACCACAATTCAATATCTGAAATCCCAAATCTTTTTTTTCCAATGCAAAACAGCAAGGAAAGTATAAATCACGCGTTCCATGCCACATCACTCTACTGCCAGTAAAAAAAACATTGGACTTCCAAGTTAAAGCAAAGAAAGCAGAGTAAAATAATTAAAACATTAAAATAACTGTGCAGAACAATTTGTGAAGGCATCTGCATTGTTAATAAATGCACATTCTAACATTTAGTGCATATTTTGGCACGCTTATACTCGTGCTAAATTGGATGGCAGATGTGTTATTCATTTAACACAAACTGACTATATGGTTTCTGTTTGACTATTTTGTCTAGTTTCTGGGCGACATAGCCCATCCCAGCCCTGAACACTGCTCCAGGCAATCAGTTGGATTCTGTGTTTAGTCTTTGATCAACACTCAACTATCAGATTAGCATATGCACACACACTCATCCCGCACTTTATCCTCTTAATAAACTTTCAAACTCCCTGACTGCTGTTCAACAGAGCAATCAGTCCCTAAATCAATCCCCCGCTCATTCAGCCGCTGAATACCAAGTACGAGTGCATGCTGTGTAATTGCTCTTTGACTATTCCTACAGGAGCGATTCCTACCCGTTTGATGCAGTCCATTTTTGACAGCCATTCTAGGATCAGCTTTGCCCAGAGTGTGTGGGGAATTTCCTGCAAAGCAAAAGAGAATTGCAAAGAGATGAGAGGGTGAATATTCAGAGGAAAGTTCAAAAGGAATTCCAAAGCCCCTACATGATTAGGCTGAAGGAGAAAAGTGAAAGGAATCGGCAGGCACTTTTTTTTTGAGTTACTAGGTCTCCCGGGTAGTTCGGCTCGAGACCTGTGCCCCGGTGCAGTGGGAGCTTGGACTTGCTGTTTTTTGTCTCTGTGTCTGTTTGTGGTAGATCATGCTGTTTGCTACAGCAGCAGCCGGTGTCTGCTCCAACCCTTTGAAGTGTCAGATTGACAGGAGTGATGGATGTTGGACTCACCTCGTCCGGTCCTCCTACACCAAGCAATCTCCTAACTTGCTTTAGGGTTTGGGGAAAGAAAATCTCGGGAAAGAATATTAGTAAGAATGTCCAAATTGATTACTGTTCATGCCTAAGATCTGGATATGCTCCCAGGACAGATTGTATTTCACTCAACTGCATGCATCCAATGTATTTTACACAAAATGCACTGATCGGGATTATGGGTCGTCCATCAGTGTCCCACTGTTCTAATAACATTCCATTGGTGGTACATATTGCTCCATAGTTGTACTACAATAAAAAGGGCAATACAGCCATTTTAATGACAAATAATGCAGATTGTGGCCTTTTCGAGAGTACCATTTGTTCTCAATGATGTTGTCAAATTGTTAATGAAAGCGAGATTAGAATCTTTGTTGTCATTTACTAGATTTATTTTTCGTTTACCCCCGTCTCCCCATACTGCCAATGGCCAAGGTTGACTGTTATTGGCCCTGTGTAATTATACAGTTCTTTATAACTTAAACGTTTTTTTAAAAAAAGTCTCTACGTTTGGGCAGAAAAACGTGCATTTCAAGTTTATAGCCTTGAAATATGTTCGTATACAACACTAACAAGGGAAGATCGTTAACGGTTTGTGCATTTTAAAAGTTTTAAGATTCCTTTGGTAAACAGCAACTTTATTTAGAAAGGTGGAAAACCACAAACTATTGAGAGACAAGAATCCTAACACTGTGCCTTCATACTCTCAAATGCTAGGCCCAGAAACACAAGGATAACCGCTCATTATGAGCAGGATCGGAACTCAGAGCAGTTTCTGAGAAAATATATGGAATGTGCAGGTAGTGCAAGGAATATGGAATATAAATATATGGAACGTGCGTGGAGTCCTGTAGCTCAGTGGTTAGAGCATTCGCTTTGCAAGCGAGAGACCTGAGTTCAATTCCAGGCAGAGGGCGAAACCTTGGGCAAGTTTCCTTACTCCACACAGAGCCTAATAATAATCCCTCCAAAAACAAAAACAATAATAAATTGGTCATTTTCAATCTACGACTATTTGTGGGACTCTGCTGTGCGCAATTGGCTGCCGCGTTCGCCCACAAATATACAATCAATTCACTTTACAGTATATTCTGTGAAGCTCTTTGGGACGTCGAGAAGACGTGAAAAGTGCTATATCAAATGCAAGGATTATTATTATTATTAAGTTGTTGCTTCTTTTTGCCCACAAAATAGTCAATCCATTTTACAATATAGTCTGAGAAGCGCTTTAAGATATCTGAACGACGTGATAAGGCGCTATATCAAATGTAATGACTATTATTATTACTATTATTATAATAAGTCGACCTACTTCAAATTTATCGTTAAACAATCTTTTAACCTGGGGTAAATTTGCAAAATGTAGGTATTTCTTTTCCACTTTCAAAGCAGAGAGAATGTCCTATGTGAACATGGGATCTCACATCAATTCCGGCTCCATCATAGCTTCCTCACAGTCAGAATAAGTATCTGAAAAGCTTTGGTCTATAGACCAACCAAAACCACACAAAAAAAATGTATTTGTGAGTCGGCTTCAAGTCAAAAGCTGCTACGCTGAGAAGATAATTAATGCCCCCGCCGCTCTTTAAGGAGCTGCACCACAATCACTTTCCAGTGCCGTTATCTCCCTCGAGCGGAGTTTTATTCTCTAATTAGCACTGAGTAACTCCACTTTAGTTTCATCCATTTCTATCCGACAGCTTTGCTCAAATTAATTTAGATAGGCAGTAGAAATAAAATACAAAGCAAAATCATTCAACTGCTCAACACAAACGTGTTACATTGGAAGCAGCTTTAAGCATGGGAATAACTTGTTCTCAACAGGGATGGCTCAACGTTGAAAACTAGCCATAAACACCTATTCAGGAGCAATGGATCTGCAGTTTTATCCCATGAGTGCAGATAACTAAAACCTGGTAGATTATAAATATCTTTATCTTGTGACAATCTCATATCCCATGGCATACTGTATTTCTTTCAAATCAACAAATTGCATTTATATAGCACCTTTCACATTGCGAGGACGTTCCAAGTCACTGGTAGCAAAGATGAAACTGCAAATGCAAACCAGTAACAAATTGATTCCTGAAAGTTATCTTCAACTGACAAAGCTGAAGTTTTCACCTTATAACGGAACAAATCATCAATTGCAATCCATCTAGCCGGTCCCAAATGAAAAACATCATAAGCTAATCTCATCTCTTAAATTGCTATTTCATCTTCACTTGAATTTTTGAACAAATCTGCGTTCACTTCCCTGAGTATCTATTTCACATATTCACCATTTACTGCGTAAAATAATTACGTATAAAATATCTCTTCACTTTGCTTCTTCTGAACTCGAGCTTGTTATATAAGAGTATTCTTAGACATGATTTCACTACTGAGAACATACATGGAATGTGCAGGCAGTGCAAGTTGTTGCTATTTAACTCAAGAGCAAGAGGTAACTCAATGTAACTCGTAATATTATGGTGCAATGCAGAAATATTGATCCTATGCATGGGTATGGTAAATATTCCAGTTAAAATACATTCTCTTTTACATGTCTTTTGAAGAGGCTTCTTAATGATTTGTTTTGTTTAGCTAAGACTTGTTTTCACAATGCATCGCTCATCTCCCTCAGGAGGTTGATCGTTCAGGGGATTTCACCACAATCCTGCTTCACACTCAACTGTAGTAATATTCTGTGTTTTCTCTGAGATAAGAGAATCATTTTAGAAGCAGACAATGCATTATTGCCGTTGACACAAATTCCGTCGACAATGAAAACCATCATACTTGTGACATGTGTGACTAATGGATGTCAGACCATTGAGTGAGGTCGCGAGAGTACCCTGCACTATATACTTAGCTTGGTGGCAAAGAAGTCACTTCAGCAAAATATCAGAGTACTTGCTTGTATGAGTTACCAGCTGCAGGACAGAAGGAATAAGGAGAAGAAATCAAATCTAACCAGCTCATCACATGAGAGTGAGGATAAATTTCCAGCCACCCATTTTAGCAAATCAGATTATGTGTGTTGTTGGTAGTTTCATCAACAATATCATCTTCTGCCATAGCAACAACATGGAACAGACGACTTGTACATCCAAAATGGTTGCACATCACAAGCTGTAAAAGCTGTGTAACCTTCTTTATAAAGAAATCCACAATGTACCTGAGAAGATGCTTGGTAGTTGCGAGCTTCAGTGGCGAGGGCCGATGCCTGATCTTCTAGCATACTCTTTCGATTGATGAGGCAGGCATTAGTGTTGTCACATAGCAGCTTGGCCTAGTGCAAAGACAAGGCAAAAACCTCATGACCACCTTCAAAAGAACAAGCATATCCCCAGAGCAAATCTAGAAATAAAGCTAGGTAATTAATCTGGTACCTTAGGGTCATTTATTGGGTGTCTATGAAGTAACACACAGCAGAGAGAGAAAAAATGAGCTTCATGAGATTCTGCCGATTTTTACAACCATTACAGCTGTTTTTATTGAGTTGGTATTGGCAGTGCAGTATCAAGTTTTACTTGTTTCATGTTATACACTGGACAAGATGAGATAGGACTGAGTTAATGATTGGTGCATACTACCGAAAAACAATACATTTAGCTTTCTATCTAAGCTTTTATGGAAATTTCTTTTGATTGAGTTTCTTTGAATATTACATTGGGATGGATGCAAGAGATTTACAGCTCGGTAAAGAAATTACAAAATACACGTCAAGAATATCACAAGGTAAAACTAATTGGTGAAAATAGTGCTCCTGTTCTAGTTTGCGAAAAAAAGATCAAATAAACTGCATAATGGGAAATGCACCTTAAGGAGGCTGGGGCCCAATTACTGAAGTTGGCCATTTAGATAGTCTTTCTATATTTCACACAGCAAAGCAAAAGCAATAAATTATAATTCAACAGAATTTCATAAGAATATTAAAAACGTACTTCCAAAGAACATAAAGTAAATTAATTTAAACTGCATTATTCTGATAAACTATGATTTTTATTTGAAAGACATTCAATGTTATGCAAGACACAAGGATATTAGTACATTAACAGCTTATTTCTTTCCTCTGAAAAAGAAACGAGCATCTTAGTTTCAATATTTCTCTCTTTAAGAAATGGTTTAAGTATAGATTTCACTTACAATAGTTATCTTGCCTGAAGCAGGGGCTCCCACTATAAAAACCCGGATAACTGTGAAGTAATAAAGAAAAGCTGAATAATTACATCAAAATTAGAACTCAACATTATTATTATCTCCTTAATCAGACGCCTCCTTATAGTCACCCCACACCTTGGATTATTCTCAACTTCATTGAATTTGCAATATCTAACCACCTCTATCTCATAACTACGGTAGTTTCTCCCTCTCCCCCTCACAAGTACCAAACAGAGCCATCATGACACCACTTCCTAAGCAGCTAGAATATGGTTTCCAGCTCCTTTATACAAACAATTTTTAATAAAACTCATCATACCGCATTCACTAATTGTATCACCAAGCCTTGCTATTTTAACATTTTATGTTTTCTGTCTTTTAAATCTATTGTTTAAACATTTACTGCTATTGTAACCCCTACTAAGACATCTGTACCAAGACATTCTAATAAATAGCAAAAGCAAAACTTTGTGTAGCAAAACGATTGTGTAATAATTGTGATAATTGTGTAATATCATCTTTTGTAGCCATTGATACTGTATTTGTTAATACTGTATACTGCCTTAGTACAAGAGGAATGAAGGTGAAATTGACATATATTGACAGACAAAGCTGACTGAATCAAGACTGAGGTGGATAGATAATAATAATAATAATAATAATAATCCTTGCATTTGATATAGCGCTTTTCACGTCGGGAGGACGTCCCAAAGCGCTTCACAGAATAGACTGTAAAGTGAATTGACTGTATATTTGTGGGCGAACGCGGCAGCCAATTGCGCACAGCAATGTCCCACAAACAGTCGTAGATTGAAAATGACCAATTTATTATTGTTTTTTGTTTTGGAGGGATTATTATTAGGCGTGTGGAGTAAGGAAACTTGCCCAAGGTTTCGCCCTGCCTGGAATTGAACTCAGATCTCTCGCTTGCAAAGCGAGAGCTCTAACCACTGAGCTACAGGACTCCACAGGACTTTCTGAATTTCTTTTGAATTTTTATATAGAGACAGTAAGTGCTAACAAAGTCAGTGGTCCATTTGCTGTACCTTCCCAGCCATATATATATATATATATATATATATAACATATAGATATATGTTAGGTCAGGGCATCAAGGGATACAGGGCAAGAGCAAGTAATTGGAGATCAGGTACAGATCAGCAAAGATCCTATAGAATGGCAGAACAGGCTCGAGGGGCTGAATGGCCTACTCCTGTTCCTATGTTTCACAGTAATACAAACTCACTAGTGATGTCAAACTGCTGATGTGTTAACGGCTTGCTGACTATATTAGGGAGCTTCCATATGATTTCACTGTAGGCTGGATTTTGTTTAAAGAACAACAACAAATTACATTTGTATAATGCCTTTCGCACAGGCAGCACGTCCCAAGGCGCTGGACAATCAGAGATTTGTACCTGAGCACTCATACACGAAGAAACAAACTTAGCAAACTATTGATTTTTATGAGATTCTGAATATTGCAGCCCAGTAATTTATTCAACGACAGACTCTGTAAGGGTGCCCGAGGAATCACATAACTAAATCCAATATGCAAATGTCGTGGTGTGTGTTCAAAGTAAATGCAGAAAGCAATGAATTATTTAACGGCAATACAATCAGTGTAGAACATGTTCTAGCGCCACCATCAGCAAGTTTCTTTCAAACAACTTCAAAGCACATTTTTTTTGGCAGTCAAGACTCTTCTGAGGATTGTCTAATCTCATCTGTAAGAAGTAATAAATCCTCAGGTGATTCAAGCCTTTACACTCATCTTCTCCAGCCAAGGGGATCAGTGAAAAACAGAACGATTCTATTATTAACATGAGGTCAAACTCTTATTTTGGAAACCACTGCCTCGGGCTATTGTAATGGTTTACTCTGTACAAAAACGCAGTTCTACTTGCCCTAGGTCATATTTTCCTATAAAAGGAAAGAAAATTATTCTGTAATTGGATTACTTCCCTTGTAGATTTCTAACATACAGGACTGCAACCGCATTTTCCCGTCGCTACGTTTGTTCACAGCTGCTATTCAGAAGTAAGCATATGCACATTAGCAATGACGAGATTTAGATTAAAGAGACACAATAAGCTCCCCGATGGCTCAGCAAGTAATTCAGCAAGTAGCTGAGCCACGCAGACCATGAAAAAATAATAATAATCCTTGCATTTGGTTCAGCGCCTTTAATGTCAGGAGGACATCTCATAGTGCTTCATAGGATTTACTGTGAAGTGGAGTGACTATGTATTTGTAGGTGAATGTGGCAGCCCAATCTGAACACAGCAATGTCCCACGAACAGCCATGAAACACATGACTAATTTTATTCAGGGATTGTTGGCACAGGACACCAGGAGAAACTCCTCTCTCTTTTTGAGTAGTGCCTTGGGATCTTTCACGTCCAGCTAAACAGGCAGATGGGAACTTGGTTTAACGTCACATCCAAAAGATGGCGCCTCCAACAATAACCAACCTTCTGCAGCACTGCATTGGAGCATCAGTTGAGAACTATGTGAGTTCAAGCCCGGATGTGGGGTTTGAACCTACAACCGTCTGACTTGTATAAGAGTGTTACCAACGGAGCCAGACTGATGAGCATCCAAAACATTCTCACTTATTTTCTTTCCCATGATTTCTACCGTGCTTGTGGTTTATCACAGACCCTCTCTCCTGTGCTGGCATTTTGAAAATAAAATCAACATTTTCAAAGCTTCCACAAAGATACAAAGATCCTGACCTTCATCATTTTCACTTTTAAGGTATTCAATCATATACTGGATGGGATCATTTGGTTTATCAACCACCAGGAACTGCACCATACTCTGCAGGCCACACACACAAAAAACAAAGAGGTTATACTTTATGCTAATGACTATAAACCTGTATATCTCACAATTTACAGCATTATTTTTGTATGTCGATGCACTGTGTGTAGATATCAAATGCAGAAGAAAACTTGGCAAGTGAAAAGACAACTCAGCTCAGTCTATGGACAATTCAACCCTATTGCGAACATAATAATATTAATGTTTGGATTTGACAGGAGTTTCCTGTCCGACTGAAATTGAAACGCACCTCGTGCAATGCACATGGTGAACCTTCGCTCCCATGTCTCTGGGCTTTTTGATAATAATAATAATCCCTGAATTTGATATAATGCCACATCACGTCGTTGAGACGACTCATAGGGCTTCACAGGATATTTTGCAAAGTGAATTGACTGTATATTTTGTTGCGTGAGCGAATTTCAACCACACACACACTCTCTCGCCCTCTCTCTGGGGGAAAAAAAAACTTTTTAGGCCCAACTTTGGGCTTTCTCCAAAGGAAGAAATTCGTGCTTTCAGCCACTACGTTCCGAAACTCTGGAGCACTCTCCCTCAATCCCTCCACCTTGCCCCATCTCTCCCCTTTTACAAGTCCTGCCTGAAAACATTCCTCTTCCACCGTGTTTATGGCCACCTTCCCCCCGGCTCGGAATCAGGCTCCAGCCACTGTTAAGCGCTCAGAGACACTGCCCTGTGTGGAGGGCGCTGTGTAAGTGCAAGTTGTTGTTGTTGTGGTTGTACTGACTGCAATTCAGTAACTTCTGAATATAATTATCATCGTTTTTCCACGTGTTCCAGTTGTTGTCAGTGAGTGAGTGAACTGTAGAGAGAGGGAGAACATGCGGGGGAGTAACAGGTGAGGGGGGAGGGGGAAGAGAGGAGGGGGTAACAGATGAGGGGCGAAGGGGGTAACAGATGAGGGGGGAAGGGGGTAACAGATGAGGGGGAAGGGGGTAACAGATGAGGAGGGGAAGGGGGATAACAGATGAGGGAGGAAGGGGGGTAACAGATGAGAGGGGAAGGGGGGGTAACAGATGAGGGGGGAAAGGGGGTAACAGATGAGGGGGGGAAGGGGGATAACAGATGAGGGAGGAAGGGGGGGTAACAGATGAAGGGGGAAGGGGGGGTAACAGATGAGGGGGAGGGGGAGGGGTAACAGATGAGGGGGAAGGGGGGGAACAGATTGGGGAAGGGGGGGTAACAGATGAGGGGGGAAGGAGGATATCAGATGAGGGGGGAAGGGGGGTAACAGATGAGGGTGAGGGGAGGAGAGAGGGAGGTGGTGGGGGGTGGGGAGGGGGGTAACAGATGAGGGGGAAGGGGGGTAACAGATGAGGGTGGAAGGGGGGTAACAGATGAGGGTGAGGGTGAGGGGAAGGAGAGAGGGAGGTGGTGGGGGGTGGGGAGGGGGGGGTAACAGGACTTTGTGGACGGACACCTTGTACCTTCAGCGTCTGGAACACGCGGTGTTTCTCGGCGTACATGGCCAGCTGCGGGGAAATACGCAGCGGCTTCTGGGTGGCGTCCATGAGGCTGTGGCTGTGTGTGTGTGAGGGAGGCCAAGGGTCTGGGTCAGGTCAGGTAGGAGGAGAGCGTCCGCCCTCTCCCTCTCGCTCTCTGTCTCTCCTCTCCACCGCCACCGTTGCCAGGGAGACGGCGACCGACCGTTGGTCTCCCAGCCGCCCCCGCGCCCTCGCGCATGCGTGCGTGCGTGTATGTGCGGCGGTTGCTAGGGGAGACGGTTCGCAAGACCCGGGCCGGATTCCAGCACCAGCCCGGAGCCGGCCCGCTCCCCAGTAACCCACAAACTCCGGACTGGGTAATCTACCGGAGCATTCCAGTCTGTGCAATCACACACACACACACACAAACATTCAACAAAACAATTCCCCCTCCACCCATCTCCCCCCTCCAAAAAAAAGGACAGCTCAAAGTGCTCCACGGTTGAGATTTTGCTTTGGTCAGCCGGGTGTCCAGGTGACACGTGCGAAAACATAGGGACAGGGGGAGGCCATTCAGCCCCTCGAGCCTGTTCTGCCACTCTATAAGATCACGGCTGATCTGTACCTCAATTCCAATTACCCGCCCCCGGTCCCGCATCCCTCGATACACTGACCTGACAGAAATCTATCCGCCTTTTGGCCCATTCGGGCTTTGGCTTGCTGAGTTAAGAGGAGCTGAGTGGGAGGAATCCTTGGCCCCAGGAACCGGTCTGCCCTCCAAGCTCTGCCAATGACCCTGGCTGGCTAGTACATCAGCATTAGTATCCTGTAAACCCACCCGGCTCAGGAACCAGACTACTGAGGCCATCACAGAGGGCTCACCTGATTCCAATATTCCATTGCCAAGCAAGTCACCTTGAAGCCAACTCCGATCAGCTTCCCCAATCTCCCCTTCCCCGAAGACAATCATGACATTAATTATTGCGATCCTTAAAACATAATAATATGCATAATTCGCCACAAGGTGGTACTGTTCAGTTCTCCAAAATGTATTCAAAAGTTATAAAAATAGTTTAATCAGAACATTTGCAAATAGAATATATACCACAATAGGATACAGTAATTAACACTTCTTTATTTATAATAATCATTGCATTTGATACATGCCAAAACATCGAAACATATTTGACAGAGAATTACTGTAAAGTGTAGTGACTGTGTGTATGCACAGAGCTTCCATGAAGCGAACATACACAGGTGGGGGGGGATGGAAGCGGATGGAGCAGGCTGTGCGCTGGGAGGGGAGGGAACCCCACGGGGTCTGGGTTGGGCAGGTACAACAACAACTTGTATTTATGTAGCAACTATAATAATAATAATCCTTGTATTTGATACAGCGCCTGATCACACCTTCGAGGCGTCTCAAAAGTGCTTCACAGAATATACTGCAAAGTGAATCGACTGTGTCTTTTGTGGGCGAAGCAAGGCAGCCAGTGACCCGCAATCAGCCGTGGATTGAAGTGACCAAGTTCCTATTAGGGGGTCGGTTAGGCACCTTCGAAGCGGAAGGTCTTCAGGCGTGAGCTGAAGATGGGGAAGGAGGGTGGGGGGGGGGGGGGTGCAGGGGCGGAGGGGAAGGGAGGTAGAAGAGAGGTAGAGCGGGCACTCCTGGGAGAGGTGTTGCAAGTCCCCGGACTGTGTTTATCCGATCTGCATCCATCCATCTCCTCGCAAACCCCCCTTTTGCTGACCGTCCATCTCCGGCTTCAGCTGAGTCTGTATTTTTGTTGTGTACTGTTATCCAAAAAAAAAACCCTCTGTTTGGGTCGAGTGCGGTTGCTAAGCAGTGTTGTAAACAATGGTCGCTAAGCGCTTGACAGCGCCTCCTCAGGCTGTCTTTCCCCATGAAGGTAACACACCCCCAAAACAACCCCCCCCCCAGTGTGTGGACGTAAAAGAGTCCAAACAGGAACACCTGCAAACAACGGGATCAAAGGGAAAACATTGGCATTTCTAAAGGGTTCAAAATCCGGGATCCGATTTAAGGATTTAAGGATTTCAGGTAAAAAGGGGTGTGGGGGGGGATTACAAACTGACTGTTTTTTTATTATCTGTTGACGTTGCAAATGACAGAGAGAGAGAGAGAGAAAAGGGGGGGCGGGTGGGGGGGGCGTTGATATCAGGACTAAAATAATCTGCTGACAAACAAGGCTTTGGCGAAACGAGTTTGGAAAGAAGTGTAGCGTAAATGTGGACGTTTGGTGGTTCAATGGTGATCAGTTCCAGCTGAGAGCTAAGAGGCTATAAAGCACACCCTCTGGCGGTTGGTTTCTGATCTGGTGCCAGTGTGCGATCAGGGTGGGATATACTGTAATTGCAAAGAGTTTGTTACAATCATAACCCACCAACTAACCCACCAACCAACCAACCAACCAACCAACCGAGGTCTGCTCTGAAAGGCAGTGATGGTGTTCGTATGCAAGTTTTTATGCTCAGGTATCTCTCAGTTTAGACAGTTCCCAAATCCTCTGTGAGATGGGAAGGAACGTGCAAAATACACCAGCCACCCCCCCCACACACACACACACACAAAAACACACACGCACACCCACACGCACACCCTCACACTCACTGCAGAGTTGAACCATGAAAGAGAATTAGAGTCGGGCTGTGTTGCTTTAGTGCATTAGAAAAAAATTGCTCACACCTTACGCTTTGCTCGCTCACAGAATAATAATCCCTCCCCCACCTCCAAAAAAAATGATAATCCACGGCTGTTTGTGGGACGCTGCTGTGCGCAATCGGCTGCCGCGTTTCGCCCACACAATATACAGTCAGTTCGCTTTACAGTATATTCTGTGAAGCGCTTTGGCTTTGTGAGGTCTGAACGACGTGATCAGGTGCTTGACCAGGCTTCCTCCCCCACATCCGGTCCCTGACCAGGACCACCTTCCTCCACCTCCGCCACATTGCCCGCCTCCGACCGTACCTTACCCCAAATGCAGCCGAAACCCCCGTGCCTGCGTTTGTCACCTCCCGCTTGGATTAAGAACGCACTTCTCACCGGTCTCCCCAACTCCACCATTCACAAGATCCAGCTCATTCAGAACTCCGCCGCTCGCATACTGACCCGAAGCAAACTCCGTCCCCACATCTCATCAGTTCTGGCCCAGGCTGCGCCACTGTTAAGCGCTCTGAGACGCCACCCTGGGTGGAGGACGCTATATAAGTGCAAGTTGCCGTTGTTGTTGCAAGCATTATTATTATTATTGCAAAGGTGCATGTCCCCAGACCAAGCTAGGTTACAGTGCCAGAAATAATCCTTGCATCTGATATGCATTTACAAGATGCAACATGTTTTCAAAGTACCTCAGGGGTCCTGACTGTTAAGTGTAGTGCCTGTGCATTTTGCAGGCAAACACACAAGTGCACTCAAAATGTTCCAGCATTTACCCCTCAAAGCACACTCTGCGGATCCCCAAAGCCTTGGCTCTTGCCAACCTAATACATTCCGGAATTAGGTAAACAGGATGCGTCCCTCCAGCGAGAGAAAATGCGCATTCCATTCCAACAATCTATCTCGAGTTGTTAGAATCCACTGCCTGAAAGGCTGGGGGAGGCTGATTCAACAACAGCTTTCAAAAGGGAATTGGTTAGGCAACTTGAAGAGGAAAGATTTGGAAGGATACGGGGAAAGAGCGGAGGAGTAGGACTGATTGGGTAGCTCTTCCAAAAAGCCGGCCCAGGCACGATGGGCCGAATGGCCTCCCTCTGTGCCCTAATATTCTAATGATTCTATGATCTCTGGGATTTCCATGTGTAGGTGGGATGCACGGAATGCTCATTTGGGTTTGGATACGGTTAGGCACAGTGATGGGTTTCCGCACGTGTCAGACACCCGGGTGGCTGACCAAAATAAATAAATAACTAATTGAGCATTTTCTCTAAAAGGGATGGTTTGCGCTCTGTGTGTTGCAGCAAACCCCAACCCCTGTCTGGTCATTGCTCATCTCATGTTACAATGAACGAAGTGAAGGCCAGTCTGCGGGACCTGGAGCAGCGTTTCATCCTCTTCAGACAGCAGCAGTTCATCTTCATAGCAGCCTTGGACCGCACGCGAGAGAATGCCCACGACAAGACCCGGCCTGTATCCACCATCGCCCAGGTACACAGTCCGCCACAGCCCAGCATAGCACAGCGCGCCCCCCCACCCCCCCGCTGGCGGGCATGAGGCACATGTATCCCATGCAACAACAACAACTTGTATTTATATAGCGCCCCTCACGCAGGGTAGCGTCCCAGGGTGCTTCAAATCGCACGTGGTCTCAAGGCCCCCCCCCCCCCTCTCTCCCCGACGTCATGAAAACTGATCGAAATCGCCTCCACACCAACCCAAATTAACCTGCAAACAATCCGTTCAGGTCCAGATCCTTGACTGGGGATGTCCTCCCGACGTGAAAGGCGCTAGATTCATATAACTGGTTGTTGTTGTTGTTTTTCCTGCCACTTTTGAGTCTCCGCAACAACTTACGCAGTGCCCGTCACTTTAGGGCAGCGTCTAGGAGCGCTGGGTATGGTGGATCGGACGTTGAGCGGGGGAGAAGGATGTGGGGGGCGGGAGGTGACCATTGGTGCGGTCAAAGAGGTAAAGAGGTAGATTTTAAGGTGGGATTTAAAGATGGAGGGGCAGGGCTAGATGGAGGGGTTGAGGGAGGAAGTTACAGAGTTGAGGAGCGAGGTACCCGAAGGAGGGGGGCAGGGCACAAGAGGCAAGCACGAGATAGTGGAGCAGAGTGGGGGAGAGCAGAGGAGCAGGACAGGAGAAGATCAGAAACACAGGGAGGTGCTGGGATATGAAGGTGATGGTGAGGACTTTGAGATCACTCTGCTGGAGGACAAGGGGATAGTGGAGCCTAGTGAGGACTGGGGTGAGAGGGGTGAGGGGGGGGAGTGGGGGTGTGGGGAGAGATGTAAATACAAATACAAAAATTACATTTGTGTAGCGCCTTTCACATCGGGAAGATGCTGGACAATCCATGTTTCGGACCCGAGTTGGGGACGGGATCGGAAGAGTAGAGGACAGAGGGAGAAGGAGGGTGACTGAAGGCACGGAAGAAGAGGAGGGTCTTGAGAAGGGTCTTGAAGGTGGCAAGGGAGGGGTGCGTGGCTGAGGGACTGCGGGATGGAGTTCCAGAGGGTGGGGGCAGAGTCGCTGAAGGCCCGATGGCCGATGGTGCGGGTGAGGTGAGGGGAGTCTGCGGACGATGGCAATGGATTAATCGAGATCCTCATGTTCTTTTTCTCTGCTTAGGTTCAGAATTACCTGGACCATTACTGTAACAACACCACAGACAGGCGTATCCTCAGCATGTTCCTGGACCTTTGCAGGGACATGAGCCAGTTCTGTGACAAACTGCAAGAGTTAAACCCTTACTCCTGTTCACCGCACGACGTACTGGAGAAGTGCAAAGTCCTTCTCAGTTGCAACAACGACATGACCAACCTACGAGCCAAGTGAGTAAACAGCATCAACAACAACAACAACCATATAGCGCCTTTCGCAATGTAGTGGGTAGATTTCTAGATCAGTATACTCAACCCAACGCCGCTTTGACCCACGACCATGAGTTTGGTGAAGGTTAAACCCTGTCCTTGATCCACGGTAACTCTTGGTTGCTCCATAGTAAACCAGACCGATGACGACAGAAAAGACTTTGGTGTATATTGTTGGCATTGACAATATTGCCAATTCAGAGGAACCTTTCCTTCGTATGAGACGTTAAACCAAGATCCCATCTGTCTGTTCAAGTGGACATTAAAGATCCCATGACACTGATCGAAAAGAGACAACATCAACGACAAATTACATTTGTACGGCACCTTTCACGTCAGGAGGATGTCCCAAGGCGCAGGACAGTCAAGGATCTGCACCCGAGCTGGTGGTTTGGAACACAAGGGGTGGAGGGCGGGGAGGGTAGGGGTAGGAGAGTGACTGAAGGCGTGGTCGAAGAGGAGAGAAGGGAGTTTCTCTCTCCTGGTATTCTGGCCGACAATCCCCCAAATAAAATTGATCTCTCGCTTCCTGGCTGTTTGCAGGACAGTGCCATGCGCAAGTTGGCTGCAGTGTTTCGCCCACATAACACACATTCGATTCACTTTACAGTATATCTCGTGAAGCGCTTTGAGACGTCCTCCCGAGGTTTAAAGGTGCTGTACCAAATGCGAGGAATATAGTCATTAGTATTATTATTATTATAAGTTGTTGTAATGGTGCCAGTTGCTGCTACCAGGAAAAAAAAACATGTACAATGGCTTTGTGAGCAAGAGAGAGATGATTATGAAGACAAAGAGTTCAGCACTGACACCTTCCACTCTCAATTTGACGGATTTGGGTCTGATTTAACTTTCAGCTCTCCTCAAAAATGCCTAATTTTGCTCGTTTGGTGACAAACACACAGGCGCGTCTCGGTTGCAAATCCCTGGGAGGCATCGGCTTGTAAAAGACGGGACCTTGAATCTCCTGGTAATTAGACAAAGATTATCTCTCAATGAAGTAGCGGTGGTGGCAACCAGTCATTATGGCACTTGTCTGTGAACATCATTGAGCGTTAGGGGACCGGAGCACTGACAGGTGCTGTCTACGTTGACAGAAACACCCACATTGAGATCCCGAACAGCATATTATTATAAATAACGACACTCACAGAAGCCTCTTGAAGTGGCGCTTACCTTCCAACCAGGAATCAAGTTTATTGCCTACATAATATTTTATTATTAAGTACAAATTTATTATTCATTTCCAGTTCATCGCCCTTTTTTCTTTGACAGGGTTATTAAACGTAGGTCTGCCGTTTGATTCAGGTGGACATGAAGAGATTACCTCCCTGCCTGTCTCCTCCAACTCCCCGTTCTCCCCCTCCCCTTCTACCCCCCCTCCCATCCTGTCATTATTTTCAAAGAAACAGGGAACCTTTCTTCCAGATATCCTGGCTTGTATCACCCTCCTGTATCCCAAGTTTTTTCCCAAATTCAAATTAATTGAACACTCCGCCTCATTATTGTTTACAGCACTTTCCTGGTTCAGACTCACAGTTTGCCTAATATCCAAAACATTTGCTTCCATTTTGTAATCGATTTTGTATTGCGAAGCACTTTGTGGCATCCAATTTGCGCGAGAGAAGTTATTAATATTAACAATAATGCTGTCTGTTCTGCCTCCGCTTTACAGCGCTCTGAGATATCCAACGTGAAGGGCCCTATATAAATGCAAGTTGTTGTTGCCTGTTTAGGCGAGTGTTAAAGATCCCTCGGCACTATTCAAAATGATTGTTTCAATCACCCCTCAGGTGACATTAGTCACTCCCTTCATAGCTGGTTGTGGGAAATTGCTGAGTGCAAATTGGCTGTCGTGTTTGCCTACAAAATACACAGTCACAACATTTTACTGGTGAACCTTGTGAAGCACTTTGAGACGTCTCCCTCAATCCCCCCTTTGCCCCCCTCTCTCCCCTTTTTCAAGTCCCGCCTGAAAACCTTCCTCCTCACCCAACCCCCAACCCCTGGCTCGGAGTCAGGCTCGGTCACTGAGACTCTGCCCTGCGTGGAGGGCGCTTATATAAGTGCAAGTTGTTGGTGGTGCTGTCCTCCCGATATCTCAAAAGGATGTCTTCATCAATCGCGGAGAGAGAGGGTGTGGGTTCCGTTTCAATACCCGTGAATTTCCGCGCGTAGTACGTGGAATTCTCAGACTGGTTTGGAGACCCGTAAGCCCGGTCATGGGTTGGAGTGCGTGCCAGACACCGGGCTGACCAAAACAAAATCAAATGCAAAGGTTACTCTGAGGAATAACGACGGGCCTGTTTTCCCCTGTGAAGTAGACGCAGCACGTCGTTGCTCTCGTACCAGTATTCTGATTTCATACGCGTTCGGTCTTATTGTCCCAGTTGCTGTGTGTTCAGCTCCAGCACTCAATCCAGAGCTGTCGGTTTGCCCAATTATTATTATTTATTATTTATTGTTTCCACAGCGTCACCTGCTGGGGCTTCGTGTCAGTGCACCGTCGTTCCAATTTGGATCGCATTTAACCCAAACCCAAAGTTCAACTTTGTTCCCACCTGTGCGCGCGGAGGGAGGGGGCAGCGTGAGGTGGGGAAGGGAGCGCTGCACTGTCATGAGTGCCATCGATCGTGTGAGGCATTACATCTGCTGCTGTTAAAATCTGTGAGATTGGGAGTATTTACAAATATTTTCGAAGAATTTTACAGCACGGAAACAGGACATCTCTCCCCACCAGTCCTTGCTGCTGTTTATACTCCACACGAGTTTCCACCCACTCCTTACTCCCTCCCTTACCCTTCTATTCCCATCTCCCTCACGTGAAAGTCTAGCTTCCTCTTAAAAGCATCTCTAGTATCCATCGTAATAATAATAATCCTTGCATTTGATACAGCGCCGTAATCGTCGTTGAGACGTCTCAAAGCGTTTCACAGAATATTCTGTAAAGCGCTCTGGGACGCTACCCGGCGTGAGGGGCGCTAGGTAAATGCAAGTTGTTGCTGTCGTTAAAGTGAATTCACTGTATGTTGCGTGGGCGCAACACGGCAGCCAATTGCGCACAGCAGTGTCCCACAAACGGTCGTGGATTGAGGGATTAGTGTTTTTTTGGGGGAAGCGATTATCACCCCCGGAAAAACGATGCGCCAATCAACTAACCACTGGGTTCCCATTTACTGCTAGGTGAACATCAGCGTGCGTGTGTGTTTGTGTGGCATAAGGAAACTTGCCTAAGGTTTCGCACCGCCCGGGAATCGAACCCGAGTCCTCTCGCTTGCGAGGCGATCGCTCTAACCACTACGCTACTGGTACTCAGCGTGGCTGTGTCTTGCCGATTGCAGGTATCCCCATGATGAAGTCAACCACCTGAGCTGCGAGGAGTCCAAGAACCACTATGGAGCCGTGATCAGCCTCCTGCCCATCGTGCTGGATTACATCAAAGACGGCATTGGCATTATTGAAAGAGCCCAGTACGAAGCTGTGAGAAATAACAGGTACGCGATGTTTTGCGGAGGGAACCAGCATCCGGTTCAGTCAAAGATCACCGAGGGCCGGCCCCAAAAAATCACTGCTAAGATGCAGACGGAAACCTGTGACCCCCGGGAATGGAATATATCCAAGAACCCGAGAGCTCGTCGCGCTTTTTACAAACCACCCTGGAAGCCTGCAGGCCACACCAACGGTCTGTGAGACCCAACACTCCTTCCCCACTTACCCCATTCCACACCCCCCCCACCTCCCCCCACTCCTCTCCTCTCCTCCTCTCCCTGCTCCACCCTCTCTCTCCCCTCCCCTTCCCCCTACCTTCCCATCTCTCCCAGGGACATCATCCTGAGAGCCTTCTATTACCATTAATGGACGGTCAATTATAAAGCCATTTGACGCTCATCAGAATTTGCATCATGTTTCCGAAAACAGAAATAAACCAAAGCAGTTTTCCTACTGTTATGCCACGCAGCCCACATTTTCCTGGCTTTTTTTCCAAATGAGGTTCTCACAGCAAGAGTTGGTGTCGGTGGCTCTAAGGCTGAGCTAAGCTTCCTCTTTGACCGTGTCTTTGGTCGCCCTCCTACCCCTACCCTCCACCGCTCTTGATCGCAACCCTCTGCTCGGGTCCAAATCCCTGACTGTCCTCCTGACTGAAATGCACTCCGTAAATGTCATTTGTTGTTGTTGAGCTCTGCTAACCAGGTCCACATTGATCTCAGCTCAACGAAAAATAAATAGCGTAAGCAAACCTCCCCTATCCCCCCCTCCCTCCTCTCCCCATCCCTCCCTGCCACAGCAGGGGAGAGGGTGGGGGTGGGGGGGATTTGGGATCAACTAAAGTTCTTGCAGCCCGATCGCTATCCATTGGGAATGGGGATGTCGGGTCAGGACATGGCCCTCCATGGCTCAGTGACCGGGCTGAGATGGGAAGGTAGCTGTAGGTTGTTAAGAACACAAGAACATTAGAATTTGCTAAGCGAAAGAAGATCAAGGTCCATCCCGTTCGCTCTCCACCATCCTGGCAGTCGCTTGTCATGTCCCAAACTATATATTATAAGAACAGAACATTGGTGCTTGAGACCAACGCCCAGCTCAAGCCACCGCTCCAGGAGAGCAGAGGAGAGGAGAGGAAAGTTTTGTTGAAAGGCATGGCTGCTGTGAAGCTGCCGATGGTGAAATCCTCACGTGCTGTCATCCACCTGAACAGGCACAGACGGGACCTCGGTTTAATGTTACATCCGAAGGACGGCATCTCTAACAATGCAACACCCCCCCCAACCCCCCAGCGCTGCATTGGAGCTTCAGCTTAGACTATGTGATTCTAAATCCCTACTTGGGGCTTGAACTCACAATCTTCTGACTCCTCGCCGAGAGCGCTACTGACTGAACCAGACGTCCAACACCATTCACTGGCGAGCTCAGCAGCTAGAAAAAGTGATGTAGACAGAGCCAGAGCCAGACTATAAACGTCAAAGGCCAAGGGTCGAGAGGACAGTGTTGAAGACCGCACTGGGCGGGCAGAAAGGTGGCAGACGTGATCAGTGAGGAGGGCAGGAGACACCTTCGATGACAGCGAGAGGCAGACAGACTGCGAGACAGACAGGCTGCAGTACAGACGCCCGGTAAGCTTCACGTTCTTTTCCCTCTTCCCCCTGGCACTGCCCAGGGCACGAAAGCTTTTTGGAAAGCGCCTTGTATAAATAGTGCCTCAGACAATGTGCTAAAGTCAGTTTGCATCGTTCTAATTTACTTTCTACTCTCTTCCAATATGACCTCTCTCTCTTCCTCGCTCTCTCTCTCGCGCTCTCTTTCGAGCTCTGATCACTGACGTTTTGTCCTTCTTCCTACAGCTGCCGATGGCTTCTCTACCCAGCTCCACCACCTCCATCTGCCCACTAGGACGTGACCTCAACCTTCTCCCCACCCCCCAGGATAATGCTGGGGCAGAGGATTGAGGGTCCAACTGCTCACAACTACCAAACAGCTCCCCACCCCCTGCACACCGGCTGTGTAGGACTTTCTACCCATCTCCACCACCGCACCAACAGCAAACCATCTCCAGGATTCCGAGCGTCTAACCTGGACGTGTTGTGCGTGTTTTTGGGTGGGGGTGTGGGCGGGTGGGGGTTCAATGGTGAACAGCTGGAGGTATCCTCTCCCTCCCCACCCCCCCCAGCATGGCTCCCACGTGCAGTCCTCTTCCCCAGACTCAGCCTCTCAATATATTTTTTGTTCATTGAGAGAATGTACAGCTGTCAATTGGCCAACACAAAAGGTCTTTTGCACTGAATTGTAAAACTGTTGTGGTGGACACACCTGGACCAGGACACGGGGAGAAAGAAACTCCCTTCGCTTTTTGAATAGCACCCTGAACAAGCAGACGGGACCTCGGTTTAACATCTCATCCAAAGGATTGCACCTCCGACAATGCAGGGCTCCCCCAACACTGTATTGGACTGCTGTGCACAATTGGCTTCCGAGTTTCACCCACAAAATACACAGTCACTCCACTTAAAAGTACATCCTGTGGAGTCCTGTAGCTCAGTGGTTAGAGCACTCGCTTTGCAAGTGAGAGACCTGAGTTCAATTCCAGGCAGAGGGCGAAACCTTGGGCAAGTTTCCTTACTCCACACAGAGCCTAATAATAATCCTTCCCAAACCAAAAACAATAATAAATTGGTCATTTTCAATCTACGACTGTTTGTGGGACATTGCTGTGCACAATTGGCTGCCGCGTTCGCCCACAAATATACAGTCAATTCACTTTACAGTGTGTTCTGTGAAGCGCTTTGGGACGTCCTCCCGACGTGAAAAGCGCTATATCAAATGCAAGGATTATTATTATTATTATTATCCTGTGAAGTGCTTTGACGTAAAAGGCTCGATATCAATTGCGAGGATATTTATTAGTTCATCTTATTAGTTTAAAATCACCCACGTGAGACTTTAACCCACAACCTTCTGACTCAGACGCCAGAGCAACTGAGCTGGAATGTGACCTGATATTGTTGTAACAGCTGATAATTACCTGATTCTTTAAGCAAATAAAGGATCTTCATTCTTCTAGCTTATGTCCTCAGTGTATTTGTTTCACCTATTACTAGTCTTCAGTGAGTGAGTGAGTGAGCGAGTGTTTGATTGAGTTTGAGTCAATGAGTGAGCTGGTGAGCAGGTGTACGTTTTGCTGACGAGATGGGGCTGGGACTGTTTGACTGCGAGACAGCGGAGATTCTGGAGGGTGCTCACAGTTCAGACTCCATCAATGAGGCTGAAACGTGACAGGCAAAGGACAATGTGTGTAGGCGAGTGATTGTTGAGTGGCTGAATCACATTGGTTAAATCGCTTGTTTTATTGTGCTGTTCTGTTCCTTTTTCTTTGTGCGGTAACCATTCTCATCCTTTGTCAACAAATATACTCTCAATCCTGGTTCCAAAACACCCTGACAAACCTATTCCCTTTTGGAAGAAACGGTTAAACCTCAGACCAAGTTAAGTTGAAGTTAAGCTGAAGTTAAGGCTCTAATTTCATTATTAATTTGTCTCAAACATGTTGCTCTGTCCTTTCAGTTGGGAATCCTTCACACCAGACTTCAAGGGTGGTTCGTTCTTTGCCTGTTGAGAGCTGGTTATTGGAAACACTGGCAATGAGCTGATTTTTGGTCAGCCGGGTGTCTGACCCCTGCAGAAACGCAGTCTCTGAGCTTAAGAGTAACCAAACCAGCCAGCGAGTAACACATACCTAGAGCACTCTACATGTGGAAATGTGACACTGTTAGTGCAAGTTACTGCAGGGCTCACTCGCATCACATACGGTAAAGGGAATGTAAGGGGAACCCGAAAAAAGAAGTCAAAAATTCATCATCGAATAAAAACACGCAAGCTGACTCTGATCCCCCTACGCAGCCCTCTCCGCACCATCACCCCCCCACCCCGCCACACTCCCCACACATACACCCACACACCCCACACACCAAGGTTACCGTCTTCAGTTATTTTCTTCCCAACGGGAATGGGTTTGGATCTTAACCTGTGCATGGCCTTGTGTAGACAGTACTAGGTGTGTAGTAGGATCTTGTGTAAATCCCTAACCTGTAGCTCCTTCGCTGTGTTACAGATGTGAAATGCAAAGAACAGCATTTTCTAAATGATGGGTGTGTCTAATCTCCATTCCCAGAGTCCCGTCACCGTGTCTTCTACTATCAGCTCAAGAAAATTGTTGCCGGTGCTTTACTGTTCTCCTGTTACTTTCCTGGTTTGCCGTTTCCATTAAAGATCTGAAAAAGGCACATGTCCACCCCTCGTTCTTTGTCAATCGCTGCACCATCATTTCCTGACCTATATGTCCCGCGTGTAAATTTCCCGTTTTCCCCTCTCCTCTCCCCATCTCCCATCTCCCAGTCCTAAGCTCTCTCCCTCACCTCCTTTCACAACACGTCTCAAGACCCCTCCTCTTCGACCGCGCCTTCGGTCACCCTCCTACCCCTAGCTGGAGTTAGATTAGAAGATCAGCCATGATTGAACGGCGAGGCAAGCTCGAAGGGCCGAAAGGCCTACTCCTGCTCCTACATTTATGTTATGTTACCCTCCCTGTCCTCCACCCCTCCTGATCCCAAGCTGATCTCAGCTCAACAGAAAACATGGAGATATTCACGAACAGCTCAAGCAAGAGGGCGCTGTGTAAATGTAACTTGCTGTTGTCGTTGCTCGAAGTTTAGACTGGGAGACACTTGTTTCCGAAAATTATAGTCCACACAGCAGATTAATCATTGCCACAACAGTATGTGATGAACCTGATGTCATCAGGACAAAAAAAAAGACCACCAAATATATTAAACGACGAAAGATTAGTCAAAAGATCTTTGGTTTTATTTTGACGTGTTTTTCGGTTGCGACAGAGAATTTAAACAGACCCCACGCCCTCGCCATAAACTCAGAACCTGTTATTTTAATGACAAACTTTCTTAGTTTTTCTTGTGGACTTTTTTAGTTGTTGCACAGTAGCATGAGGAACTCACATCAATTGGAAAACTTGTACAATCCCTCGGTCTTACTTCCTAATAATACGCAGGTTATTGCCAAAAAAACACTCGCTGATTATTTAGGTGGACCTCCTAGAGGTGACTGTCTATACTTTTTTTTATTTGTGGTGGCTCTATCCGTATTCTCTGATCATCTTACTCTTCACCGAACCAGTCAGTGGTAACGAGAATCCATCTCTCTCATGACATCGAGGAGTTTGAGGTTTCACTAAATCTTTTTTCTTCTCTTGGGGCTTGGCCTCAGCGAGAAGGGCTGAGCACGAAGTTGTGAGGTGTGGCAGAGTAGTCACTCACAGAGTCTCGCACTTCCACTGTCTGGTTTAAGGGCTTAAAACCCTTTGCTTCAATCTGTAGGACAGACAAGAGTACAATGACTGCCTGGGAGCTGGGTAAGTCATGGGAGACACTGCTCTGGATCTGTGATGATTGTTGGCAAATTCAATTTGTTCTGTGTTGTTTGTTTTGGGTAAATATTTTTGCTCATTAAAGGTGATGCATGTTATCACCAGGGAATGTAAGCCCTTCTCATCTTGATTACACAATGCCACCCCTGCCAGATAAAACATGTTTAAACCAATGTATAAACACACCTGGAGTGCTTCTCTCTCACACTCATACACAGACCAGGTCTGATTTTATTGCGCTTCATAGCATCAGAGTCATAATCATTTTTACATTTGATGCAGCGCCTTATCACGTTGTCAAGAAGTCTCAAAGTGCTTCACAGGATATACTGTAAAGTGAGTTGACTGTATATTTTGTGGGCGAAATGCGGCAGCCAATTGCGCACAGCAGTGTCCCCCAAACAATTGTGGATTAAGTGACCGAATTATTACGATTATTATAANTTTTTTTTGAAGGGATTATTACCCCTGGAAAAGACTACTTGCCTCTTACCTGGAACGTGTAATGGCCGGGTAGTAACAGGCGGTAATATTCCCCCAAGGAGTTCGTTTCATAAGGGTAAATACTGTTCCTCCCCACGAGTTTCACGATTGCATTGGAAATGGGATTTCCCTTCTGATCCAGGACTCTGCCCTTCAGCCCTGCAAAAGGCAACATTGGTCGTCAATCAAGTTGTTGTCCCGACCTGTCAGCCAACCCACGAGGATAACCCTGACCCTGGAAGACAAAGCTGTAAGACTGAGATATATACCTAAGTGAACATGTTTGATTAGCAATAAAAGGGCAGCTCGGTTCTGCTTCCAGTAGACAGGTAGGTGTTTGGCCGCTGGGTATTTGCAACAGGACAGTTCAATCGTCAGCTCATAACAGTGGCCCCAAACATAATTGTAGTCTTGCATACTGCCTAGGTGAGAGATAGTGAAAACTGTCAGACTGTGGAAGGCGGAAGCCAGACACTGGGTGATCTCCAAATGCACTCAACAACAGAGGAACATAGGAACACATAGGAACAGGAGGAGGCCCTTTAGCCCCTCGAGTCTGTTCCGCCATTCTAATAAGATCATGGCGGATCTGTACCTCAACTCCAATTTCCTGCCCTTGTCCCATATCCCTTGATAAACTGACCTGACAGAAATCGATCCACCTCAGTCTTGGGAATTTGAATGGATTCTTGAGAGGGACAGGCAGGGAGCGGGCAAAAGGGGGAGTCATGGTGGGGGGAGGGGTGGGGGGTGGGGGTTTGACTGATCAAGGCCACACTGACTGTTACAACTGGTTTAGCTGCTTTACATTACTGGCTCCAGGGCTGAACTCACACCAGCAAACCCCTCCTCTCCCCCCCCCCCCCCCCCGCCCACCCATTCCCCTATTCCCTCCCTCGGCCCACCCATCTGTGCAGGTGTGTTCAGACCTGACCTACAACCTACTGCCCAGGTGCCTTGCCTTTTACGATGTACCATTCGGCTCCATTCGTCACTCCGTCCTGGAATTTCATCTTACAGAAATTCCCTTTGTGCATGATGGAATGGTTAATGGAGTAAACCTTGGCCAAGGCCTTAAACACGTCATCGTCGGGGCACTCACTGTACCGATTGATACCTGCCAACAGAGAGTGAGAGGAATGGTTAAATGGGCTTCATTCCCAACACTTCCTCCTCCCCACCCCCAACCCCAGCCCAGCCCCACTTCGCCTCGCCCCCTCCCTTGCCTCCTTCAAGGCCCGTCTCAAAACCTTCCTCCATGTCCAATGTATGGTCACCCTCCTATCCCCACCCTCCCTGCGCCCCTCCTGACCCCGACAACTTCCAGCTCAGACGCAAATCCTCGACTGTCCAGCACCTCGGGACGTCCTCATGAAGTGAAAGGCGCTGTGTAAATGCAATTTGTTGTTGTTGTTGCTGTTGATGGGACCTCGGTTTCAACATGTCACCTGAAGGATGCCAACTCCCACATTGTGGCTCCTCCCATTATTTCCCCTCTCCCCCTGTTGTTGTTGTTGTTGTTGCTCGAATGAACGTTTTTAAATTGTTTCAATCCACAACGTTTCACCTTCTTCGTTGTTGTCGAACGGATAGGCAGTGAGGATGGCCCCTCCGTGCAAACTGGCCGAGAGGACAAAGGTCTCCCGCCGGATCCAGCTCATGATGGCTTCCGTTTCCGGCTGGCGGGGGCTGGTGTTGTTTCCGAAAGCGTCGGGGAAATTCCTGTTCAGGTCAACGTGATTCTTGTTATACCTGTAACAGGGAGCGGGGACAGTGATCTTGGTTCTGCTATAATAATAATGATAATAATAATAATAATCCTTGCATTTGATACAGCGCCTTATCACGTCGTCGAGACATCTCAAAGCGCTTCACGGGATACACTGTAAAGTGAATTGACTGTGTATTTTGTGGGCGAAACTCGGCAGCCAATTGCGCACAGCAGCGTCCCCACAAACAGTCGTGGGTTGAGTGACTGATTTATTATTTTTGGAGGGATTGAGAAGGAGGAAGGAAGAAGCAACAACACAAACAAACAATTAAATAGCTAAATAAGTAAAACGAACAAGACAAAAAGTCTTATAGTGTCACGATGGGTTATTACCGGCCTAGTTTGCCCCCACACTTGCCGACCACTGACGCCTCAAACCCGTCGGGGTTCATGGAGGGTAAGATGTGGATCCTCGCGCTGCTGATCAGTTTGGTGATGTTTGTGTCATTTCCGTAACTCGTGACCAGGTAATCGATCAGATGGAGCAGCATCTCTCTGCTCACAGCCTGCACGAGACAGAGTGTCAACCTCCGGAAAGAACATGGGCCCCTTTTTTTAATATCCTAGGCTCCTTTGCTCAGCGGGCTCCGACCTGCTCCATGTCCCCCAACCAGGTGTTGGACATTCAACCTTTCTGCCTCCACTCTTTGGAACTCCATCTCACAGTCCCTTCACCTCGCCCCCTGCCTTATCTCCTTCAAGGCCCATCTCAAGACCCTCTCTTTAGACCGCTCCCTCGGTCACCCTCCGATCCCTACCCTCCTTTCCTTCCATCCTCCTCATCCAGAGCTTTGGGACACCCTCCCGACGTCAAAAATGTGTGGTTGTTGTTGTGTTGAGGAGATCAAACTCCCGTGGATACCTCACCTCGTTCCCATGGATGTTGCCGATGTATTTCACCTCTGGAATGCCGACACGATGGTACTTTGGTGTCTCCCCGATTGCAACGACCCACAGATTCCGTCCTTTGCACAAAAGATCAAATGGACACACACAGCAGGAGATATTATCTAAGTGCCCTCGTTTACAAGGGTTGGGACACATTACAAAATAAGACAACACTCATAGTAAGAACATAATTAATTGTGCCTAGAGATGAAATACCCCTTAATAGCTCTTAGACCCAAATATCTCTGCACATTTACTGCTTCCCCTGCATTTTAGTTACAGAAGCCAGTTTGGACGCATTGGCTGGCTCTGATAAATCCCTGTTATAGACGGTCTATAAGAAACACTAGTCTGATGCCTTCGCTAGACGGGTCTGCAGTACTGCAGGACACTTGCTGAATGACAGATGACTTGGTTGCAGACACAGGGAAATGTCCTTGTGTAAGTGCCATACACAGACCTCTCAATCTGGTATGGATACTCTTAAGCATAGTGGTGGGTTTCTGCGTGTGTCGGACACCCGCTGATCTAACACGTGAGCTATCGTGTTTGCCTACACAAAATATACAGTCAAGTGATTCCTGTAAAGTTGATGTGATAAGGCGTTATCTATATCAACACAAAGATTATATTAGTAGTGGTTCTAGTACTGAAGAAAATTATTTTTCGCCCACAAAATACACAGTCAATTCACTTCACAGTATATTCTGTGAAGCACTTTAAGACGTCTCGAAGACTTGATAAGGCGCTATATCAAATGCAAAAATTATTATTATTATTACCTTCTACAGACTTTCCAATACTGTAAAGGTGGGTAATAGAGGGATAACTTTGATTCACATCACAGAGGAAAGAGTCCAATTTCGCTGTATGATGATAGCTAAAATCCAACCCAGCCCAAGAGTATTGCAGAAGCAAAGCCAGGACACAAAATACTGTACAATTCCAGTCCTGCAGTGTGGTAGCCATCAGCAGGGCAGAAGGATATCAACCTGAAAGAGGCAAGAAAAATAATAAATGGTTAAGTTACGCCCTATTTCTCCTCCATCAATCTCTGAAATGCTTTTTAAATGTAAGAACTCCACACGCCTCTGTTTACCCAGCAGTAAGTAGGGTAAATGATTGGTGGCTCGCTTTCCGGGGGTAATAATCCCTCCAAATTTCTTTTTAAAATGTGTTCACTCAATCCAAGACTGTTTGTGGGACCTGCTGTGCCAATTGGCTGCCATATTTCGCCCACAAATCACAGTCCCTGCGCTTTACAATACTGTGCATCCCGTGAAGCGCTTTGAGACGTCCTCCCGACATGAAAGGTTCTACGTCAAATATAAGGATTATTATTATTGTTATAATATGATCATTATTATCGGTAGTAAACATTTTACGATTCCTGAGAGACAAGAGTCACTGCACAGTGACAAGCCGCGTATCAATCGAAACAAACCTGTGCATTAAATCTCTCTTGGCCCCATGTTTTTACGCTCTTTAAGGCTGGCCAGAGTACGGCGGGTTAGGAACACATTGTGTGGGATCTCCTCTCTGCTGAGGTCATTCCAGTGAAGGGTTTAAACAAAAAAGGGTTCGGAGACCCTCCGCTCGTTTCCTGCGAGAGAGAGAGAGAGAGAGAGAGAGAGAGAAAGAGAGAGAGAACTACAGCCCAAATTTGTCTTCATCAAAGGTCGCCCGCTGTTCTCTTGCTCCACAAGTCACAAGTTGATGGGACTCTGAACCCAACGGTGCTCATAGCCCATTGTTCACATTCATGACCTCACTGGAGCGGAAGCCCAGAACACAAGGAAAGGCATTCCAACAATAATAATTCTACGCCTGTGGGTCTTTCACACACAAACACACACACACACTCACACGGGTACAACGGAAACAGCGTTATTATTTACTACCCTAATAATCCCCGAGGCTCGATATACCCCCTGATCATGATACGCTGTCGATGCGTCTGAAAGTCCTTCGCTCGGGTTTTCACTCTAAAGTGCAGCGGTGAACCGAGTGTGTGTAGGTGAATATGTACCATAGTCAACAGAGTCCGTTTTCAATGTGTAGTAGTAACTGTCGGGCTCTGCAGTGTGAGTGACTGAACTCAACAGTGAGAAACCAAAGCCCTTCACTTTATCAGGATATCAAGAGTTAAACTGCTTGGGGGCGGGTGGGGGAGCGGAAGTCGCCTTCTGCTGGTGTTCAAGTTGACGTTATTGTATAGACATTGACTTAAAAGTGAATTTAACTGGGAGTATCTGCTGTTATGTCCAAGGTTTAATAAAAATAATCCTTGCATGTGATTATAGCCCTTATCACGTCTTCGAGACGTCTCAAAGTGCTACGCAGAATATACTGCATAGCACTTTGAATTGACTGTAGTTTGCGGGCAAATCAAACAGATCAATCAAGGCAGAGGCCTTCTGTGGGTTAGCAAGTGAAGTCCAGCAGGTACACAGTGGCTGAATTCATATCACTGTGTGTGAGTGAGTGTGAGTGTGTGTGAGTGAGTGAGTGTGAGTGTGTGTGTGAGAGTGTGGCCTCTCCCAAGCTCTGGTTACCTGGTAACAAAGGGACGGGGAGCGAGTTGGCTGCGGTACTGGGCACGGTGCCAGTCCTCAAACAACACACCCGGACACGGAGTAAAGATTGGCACTCCTGCGCAGTCCAATTTTTCTCCATCTAAACGTTGTGTTGTTTGAAACACAGTCAGTCAGTCCAAGCTCACTTTTCTCTCCTCTCCAACGCAGCGGATGTACTCTGGGTTCAAATCGCTTGTTCTTTATTTCCTTGTTATTTTGACACACTCACACGCAGTCTCACCCTCAGCTGATCTCCCCTAGATTTCTCTCTCCATCCTCAGAGGCACTCTTTCCACAACGTTGAAACCCAATTTGTCAAACTCCAGTTTGTTGAATAGATCTCGGTGATGCATCTATGATTATTTATATTATATATGTGTAATTTATCGATGACTGCTTGTGGGACGCCGCTGTGCGCAATTGCACCCACAAAATCCACTTTATAATGTATCCTGCGAAGCGCTTTGAGATGTCTCGACGACGTGATAAGGCTCTATGCCAAATGCAAGGATTATTATTGATTATTATTATCGTTGCCCTAGATATTGCAAATTCCCTTCTTGTTTAACCTATGAATCCAAAATTTGCAGGTTCCAAATTGAGTTTATCTCGCGGTTATAAAAATGACGACACTTGTATTTATGTAGCGCGTGGGATAGGTATCTTGGAGCGCTTAAACCTATTAAATAATATATCTTTAAAAATATTTTTTAAAAATATTTATATTGAAGAATATTTAAAAAATCTCTTCATATATAAACTAAATCTCTATTTCTTTCCTGGTTTTGTAGTGTTATGCATCCGATCAAACCAGAGGCCTCCACAAGTCACATCCAGGTATAAGGGAAAGGGGTGCGAAGGAGATCAGCTTAATCTTGGGGAAAACGTAGGAGAAGAAACATAAGGAGATGGAGACGCAGGTGGAAGCAAGGCAGAAGGAGGCGGTGGAGAAAAAGAATGAGGAAGAGAAAAAGGAGGATAAAAAAGAGGAAGACGAGAAGGAGGATAAAAGAGAGAAAGAGGAGGATAAAAGGGAGGAAGAGAAAAAGGAGGATAAAAGAGAGGAAGAGGAAAAGGAGGATAAAAGAGAGGAAGAGGAAAAGGAGGATAAAAGAGAGGAAGAGAAAAAGGAGGATAAAAGAGAGGAAGAGGAAAAGGAGGATAAAAGAGAGGAAGAGAAAAAGGAGGATAAAAGAGAGGAAGAGGAAAAGGAGGATAAAAGAGAGGAAGAGAAACAAGAGGAAAAAGGAACAGAGGAAGAGGAAAAGGGGAAAGAAAAGGAGGAAGACAGAAACAAGGAGAATAAGCCCCAGAGTCCGGATCAGGTGAGCAGTCAAGTTGTGTAGTTTATCTCTTCAAGGACATTGAAGTACAGTGCAATCGATCGTACAATAGTACAACGGTGCAGTCCTGTAGCTCAGTGGTTAGCGCACTCTCCTCGCAAACAAAAGACTTGGGTTCGATTCCCGACAGGACGAAATACTGGGCAAGGTTCCTGTATCAAAAATGCAAAGGCAAGGATCATTATCTGTTGTGTTTCATGACGAATCCCAGCTGTAGGCGAGGGTGGAGCAACATTCCCTTAAACGTGCCATTTGCAGATCACTCCATGAAGTTTCCTATGGGGGGTGCGTGTGGTCGATGAGTATTTAAACCGCACCGATTCCATTATTCCCAAAGGCACCCAGCAAGCAATACTAATAATCCTTGCATTTGATACAGCGCCTTATCAAGTCTTCGAGACATCTCAAAGCGCTTCACTGCAGAGTAAATTGACCGTATATTTTGTGGGCGAAACTCGGCAGCCAATTACGCACAACAGTGTCCCACAAACAGTCGTGGATTGAGTGACCAAATTGTTATTATTATTTTTGATTTTTTTTTTTGAAGAGATTATTAGCCCCGGGTAAAGCGATTTGCCAATCGACTGACAACCAGGTTCCGACTTACCTCTAAGTAAACAGAGGTGCGCGTGTGTGTGGAGTGAGGAAACTTGCCTAACATTTTGCCCTGTCTGGGAATCAAACCCAGGTCCTCTCGCTTGCGAGGCGAGTGCTCTAACCACTGAGCTGGAGGACCCCACGATGGATTTGCTCCACTAAAAGTGGACACGTTGTAAAGTCTGATCCCTGCGTTAAACCGAAACCAAACCTGCGCGATTGGCCGCTCACAAGGACGGTTTCTCCCGCAGCCCGCTGACCCCGTGATGCCGGCTGACCTCTTTCCCAAGCCTGTGTCGGAGCAACAGCTGGAGGAAGCCTGGAAGGAATCACTGAAAAATCTGTTCGGGTCGAGTCAGATCTTTGAACCGGAAAAGTGCCTGGATCAGAGTTCCTTCATAAAGTCCACCGTCATCCATGACCAGGCCACGACATAGTGAGTTCATCTGGCAGCCGTTTCCTTTCAAAGAACCGTGTAAAACCAGCTGAACTGACGCAGCTTGTGTTCATTTCCCCCCCAGTTACGAGAAGGGTTTGGAGATGTATTCCAGCAGAAAGTTGGACAAAGCGGTGACTCTGTTCAGCAAAGCGATCAGCCTGCAGCCGGAGAGGGTAAATGTCAGTCCGTCACAACAACAACAACAACTTGCAATTACGCAGCGCCCTTCGCACGAGATAGCTTCCCGGAGCACCTCACGGTTCACGACCCAAAAAAACGCAGCATCACAGCAATGACCGGCGGGGAGGGAATCGGAGGACGGAAATCATCTTCCCAGACCATTTTGTCTTAGAGTTTAAGATCTTATTGTGGAGGTCCGTAGCACAGTGGTTAGCGCGCTCGTCTCGCAACCGAGAGGACCTAGGTTTGATTGTCAGGTGCGGCAGAACCTTAGACAAGTTTCCTTACTCCACACGCCTCTATTTAACCAGCAGTAAGTAGGAACCCCGTTGTTAGTCGATTGGCTTTTCCGGGGGAAAAAGTTCCTTCAAAAAAAATGTGGTCACTCAATCCACGAGTGTTTGTGGGACACTGCTGTGCGCAATTGGCTGCCCCCAAAATACACAGTCATTCCGCTTTACAGTATATCCTGTGAAGCGCTTTGAGACGTCTCGAAGATGAGATCAGGCGCTGTATCAAATGCAAGGATTGTGATTACTATCATTACGACAGTAAAACTCTCACAAATCTGATCCGTATCAATCGTACAATCGCCCAAGTGGTACATCCGCCGCCCAAGTCAAGAGTTTATATTCGATGCAAGTTCAACAGAACTCATACTTTGACATTAAAAAGCATTGTCCCGATCGAGACGACTTGCGTGAGGTTTACTGTAAGATATTGTTATGATATTACTGGCTGCAGGTGGAACTGTACGTGAGTCTGGCTGATGCCTATCTGCAGTTCTGTGACTTCCAGTCAGCCATCATGAACTACAGGCGAGCATATACCCTGAACCCCGGGAATGAAGAGTTACAGCTACAAGTCGGCTTCACCACCTACATCCAAGTGAGTCTCTGCCTTCCTGCAATAAAAACAGAAGTCGCTGGGAACACGCAGCGGGTCAGGCAGCATCTATGGAGAGAGGAAACTGAGCATTGTAACTCATTTTCCTCTCTCCGTAGATGCTGCCTGACCCGCTGCGTGTTCCCGGCGACTTCTGTTTTTATTTCAGATTTCCAGCGTCAGCAGTATTTTGCCCCTCTGCCTTCTGTATGTAAGATACTCGCTCTTAAGAGAATAACCATAACAACAGCATCCCCATTATTGTAACGTGCGAACTATATGTTTCTTCCACAAAATACACAGTCACTCCACTTTAAAGCTATATTCTGTGAAGCGCTTCAAGACGTCCCGAAGACGTGATATATCAAATGAAAGGATTATTATTATTATTATTATTATTATAGATGAACCTTGGTCTTTTTTTGTCCAGCAATTCCTTCGTTCATTCCTTACTTCCTCTCTTTTTTTCTTCCATTTCTTCTTTCCTTTGCTTTCTTCTCTCCCTTTCTCCCTCGAGTCAGTAACAAGAGTGAGTGTCTATTGGCCCTGTATCCCTGTGTCTGACTCCGTCGCTCTCCCTCTCTCTCTCTCTCTAGGGCCAGTGCCTGTTTGAAATGCAGATGTACAGTGAAGCTTTAGGAGCTTTCACAGAAGCGTCGGAGTTGTGTCCAGAAAACCAAGGATACCAAGTGAGAAGGTGACTGACCTGTTGCTGCTGCTGCAACTGTGCGGAGTGCGGCTGAGAAGTACAACCGCCAACACCCACGTGAACGTGATACAATGACCAAGTTACCTGGCCTGACATTTTTATCGCACCTCGTCACCTTGAAACATCTCAACGTGTTTTTGCCGTCATCGCCCCCAGTGAAGTGCCGCGACTGCGTGCGCGCAGGCAAACGCGGCAGGCAATTTGAGCGTGAGGGGCGCCCTGTGTGAGGGGCTCTGTAGAAGTGAAGGTTGTTGTTGTTGAGCACTGCAAGATTACCACTAATTGCTGGGAACGTGCAGCAGGTTGGGCAGCATCTATGGAGGGAGGAAAATGAGTTAATACTCATTTTCCTCTTTCCGGAGATGCTCTCTGACCTTCAAGATTCGGTCAGGACACCTGGAGAGAGAAACTAACCCTTCTCGTTTGCAATAGCCCAGCTAGGATTGTTATTGTCGCTTTGCTTTTGACGCTAAGCTCACCCTGTACAGGAAACAATGTAAAATAAGTTCTAGATCCTGGTCCTCACCTTCAAAGCCCTCCATGGCCTTGCTCCCCCCTACCTCTGCGACCTCCTAACCCCCTACCAATCTGCTCGCTCCCTCCGCTCAGCAGGCTCCGGCCTGCTTCATGTCCCCCGCTTCGCCCACCCCACCATTGGCCTTCAGCCACTCTGCCCCCACTCTCTTGAACTCCAACCCACAGTCCCTCCATCTCGCCCCCTCCCTTGCTTCCTTCAAGACCCATCTCAAGACCCTCCTCTTCGACCGTGCCTCTGATCACCCTCCTTCACCCCCTGCCCTCCACTCTCCCTGCTCCCGACCCCCAGTTTGGATCCGAAACACTGATTGTCCAGCGCCTTAGGATGTCCTCCTGATGTGAAAGGCGCTATACAAATATAATTTTGTCGGTGTTGTAAAATAAGAGTCCTCCACTTTATAGGATTGTCTGCCTGGCTGCGCTGGGGAGATTCAAGGAGGCCCTGCAGGTGGCGAACAAGTTGGTCATGGTCCAGAAGAATAACCCAGAGCTCTACATCCTGAGGGCCAGGATACACGATCACTTTGGCAACGTGAGTCTCTTTTGTTCCGTAGCATGGTGGTTAGCACGCTAGGCTCGCAAGCGAGAGGACCCGGGTTCGATGCTCCTCACGCTTCTGGTTGACCGTTAGTTAGTAGGAACCCGGTTGTTAGTCGATTGGCGTATCGCTCTCCAGAAAAAAATATTCCTCAAAAACCAATTGGTCACTCAGTCCACGACTGTGTGTGGGACACTGCTGTGTACAATTGGCTGCCGTGTTTCGCCCCCACAATACACAGTCACTCCATTTACAAGATATACTGTGAAGCGCTTTGAGATGTCTCAACAACGTGATAAGGGGCTACGTCAAATGCAAGGATTATTATTGTATTGTTATTATAAACCATAACAAGGGCCACCAACTCTTTCACACTGTGGTAACTCTCCTTAACATTTGCACAGAATTGTGGAATTTTGAGGTCTCTATTAACATCGACTTTGTTAACTGTGTTAACATGAATCGGGTCTCTTTAGGAAGCAGAACAGTGGTATTTTTCATGTCCTTATTGACGTGTTTTTTTCCCTGGCTAATAGTTAGCCCTCTGTAACAGCGATATCACCGCGGCCTTGGCGATGGATCCCACCTGTCTAGGGGCACTTTCCCTCAAGTCCAGACTGGGGGAACGGGCTGAAGAGGCCAAGGCACAGGCAGTGAACAGCGCTCTGAGAGGTCAAATGAAAGAGGCAATGCAGAAGATCAACAAGGCTTTAGAAAATAACCCCAATGAAGCCAACTACTATATCCTCAGGTACCGCAGTCACAGGCTGGGCGCAACTCAACAACAACAACAGCAGATTACATTTGCATAGCGCCTCTCCTTTAATTCTTTTTTGGGGTGTGATTCTCCATGTGTTTGTGCCTTGATGACCTCACCATCATCAAGGCGCTGGACAGTCAAGGATTTGCACCTGAGCTGAAGATTGGGATCGGGAGGGGTGGAGGGCAGGGAGGGTGGGGGTAGGAGGGTGACCGAAGTCACGTTTGGTCGAAGAGGAGGGTTTTGAGACGGGCCTTGAAAGAGGCGAGGGAGGGAGCGAGGCGAAGGGACTGTGGGATGGAGTTCCAAAGAGCGTGGGGGCAGAGCGGTTGAAGGTTCGAGGATGGGCTGGGCGGGGGACATGGTGCAGGCCGGAACCTGCTGAGCGGAGCGAACGAACAGGTCGATATGAACGAGTTTACGATTGGGAGGAACATTGTGCTCCCAGGATTGGGTTGTTGTTATTTTTTTTAAGAAACCCTACTGCACGTTTGTCTTCATTTTATTGACTTCTTCGATCTCCAGAGGAACCCTGTACAGGAAACTCAAGGAATTCAACGCGGCCATCGACGACTATCTCTTCGCCCTGGACAAGGTCAACTACAACGACCAGAGCCAAATCTTCGGGGAGGCTCAGGGGCAGCTGCTGCTCACCTACAATGACTTTGCCGTGTACTGCTACCAAAGAGGGTTTTATGAAGAGGCCATCCTCCTCCTGAACCAGGCCATCAGGGGAGAGAAGCAACAGAAAGGCCTGTACATTAACCGGGGAGGTAAGCACTGCACAGAGCACTTGCTGCGCAGGTGACTACTGTCTGGCATCGAGACTGTTTCATAGCCAATAATCCATTCCCCCAACCCGCACCCCCAGCTCTAACCTGGCCCCCATTTACTCCGCAATAACAACAGCAAAATTACATTTATACAGCCACAAAGTATACAGTCAATTCACTTTACAGTATATTCTGTGAAGCACTTTGAGATGTCTCAATGACGTAATAAGGCGCTATATCAAATGCAAGGATTATTATTATTATTCACTCAGCGATGTCCCAGCTCTCAGTTATGAATTAGGTAAGCAGGATGCATCCCTCCAGGGAGAGAGAGAGAGAGAGGACATTCCATTCCAACAGTCTATCTCTGGGATTTGCACGTGTAGGTGAGATGCATGGAATTCTCAGTTTGGTTTGGAGACTCTTAAGCGACAGTGATGGGTTTCCGCATGTGTCAGACACCCGGTTTAACAAAAAAAAACTTGGGAGGACAGTTGGCCAGGACCCCTCTCCCTCTTCTCCTTCTCCTTTGTGGGAATGTCAGAGGGTCCTTGAGGTTCACTTGACCAGGCAGGTACCTGACCCTGAGAATGTTGAACGGCCAATCTCAGATGGGAACAGACTCCATTCCCCCCCCCAGCTCTAACCTGGCCTCCATTCAACCTGCTATAACAACAGCAAAATTACATTTACACAGTGCCTTCCATATCAGGAGGACATCCCAAGGCGCTGGACAGTTAAGGATTTACCTCCGAGCTGGGAGTTGGAATCAAGAGGGGTCCTGTAGCGTATTGGTTAGACCACAAGGGAGAGTACCCTGGTTCAATCCGCCAATTGTCTAAACAACTGGGTTCCTACTTCCTGCTAGGCAAACAGAGGCATGTGGAGTAAGGAGACTTGCCTAAGGTTTCACTTCGGCCCGCATGGGAATCAAACCCGGTTCCTCTCGCTTGTGAAGCGAGCGCACTAATCACTACGCTGCAGTGTTCGACCAAAACAGACGAAACCAGCGATCAGTCTATTCGTCCCTACGTGAAGGACGCATCTGAAACACACTGCCACCTTTCAAATATTCTTACAGATTGTTTCTTCAAGAAAGAGAACCTGGAGTACGCCTTGCTGGACTATGAGCAGGCTCTGGACCTGGATAACAAGGACCACAACATAAAGGACAGGATCGCCATTGTGCGTGACGAACTCGGACTTCGGGACTATAAGCTCAGGTACAGAGAGCTGCTTCTGTTGTTGTTGTTTAATTTGCCACAACAGGATGGGGTGGACCTAGCTGGACAAGCAATGGGAAACCTTGCTAACAACAACAAATTTCACAGCAACTTTCACGTCAGGAGGATGTCCACTGATGGCACTAATGGCACTGAACGGTCAGGGATTTGGACCCGAGCTGGGAGTTAGGATCAGGAGGGGTGGAATGCAGGGAGGGGAGGGGTAAGGAGGGTGACCGAAGATGCGGTCGAAGAGGAGGGTCTTGAGACTTGCCTTGAAGGAGGCGAGGGAGGGAGTGAGGCGAACGGACTGTGAGATGGGTTCCAAAGCTTGGGTTGCCAGACAGCACTATCAATGGCAAGCTCTGCAATATTAGCTGGTTAGACTCCAGCAGTTACCCCCAATGGACACTCTGGGATACCCCCCAAGCCTTGGCTCTCGCCAACCTGCGCCTAATACTTTCCGGAATTAGGTAAGCAGGATACATCCCTCCAAGGAGAGAGAGAGTGCATTCCATTCCAACAATCTATCTCTGGGATTTCCATGTGTAGTGTGAGATGCATGGAATTCTCAGCTTGGTTTGGACACTCTTAAGCACGATGATGGGTTTCCGCATGTGTCAGACACCCGGCTAACCAACCCCACCCCCCAAAAAAAATCTGCAGCAATTAAAAGCAAAAACGATTTGCCCCAGCGCCCAGACTGGCTCAGGTGTTTAGGGGGGTTCCTGGGGGAGACATTCTGACTCAGACTTGCCGTCCCTTGACTGCAGGAAGTACCTCGATGCGGAGAAGAACTTCACCATCGCCATCCAGAACAGCCCCCGGGCGGCGATGTATTACCTTCACAGAGCCAAAGCCCAGCGCTTCATGGAGCACCTACAGCAATCACAGGAGGATGTGGTCACAGCGCTCTTACTGGATTCACAGCACAAAGAGGTAACAGTTCAGATCAGGTACAGCTCATATATAAGTACAACAACAACAACAAGATTGCATTTATCGAGCGCCTTTCACGTCGGGAGGACATCCCAAGGCGCTGGACAGTTGGGTCGGGACCCGAGCAGGGGGAAATGGTCAGGGTGAGTGGAGGGAAGGGAGGAAGCGAGGAGGGGAGGGAGCGAGGAGGGGAGGGAAGGGGGGGAGAGAGCGAGGAGGGGAGGGAAGGGAGGGAGCGAGGAGAGGGTAGAGAGTCGAGAGGGGAGCTGAAGGCATGGTTGAAGAGAAAGGTCTTGGGACTGGCCTTGAAGGAGGAAAGGGAGGAGGTAAGGCGAAGGCACTGGGGGATGGAGTTCCAGAGCCTGGGGGCTGAGAGGCTGAAGGCCCGGCCACCGATGGTAGGGCAGTTGGGGCGGGGGATGTGGAGCAGACCGGAGCCAGAGGAACGGAGGTACAGGCACGGAACCTGTGTATGGTCACAGCTCCTGTAAGGATAACAACTTTTATGTGGAGTCCCATGGCATCGTGGTTAGAGCACTCGCCCCACAAGCCAGAGGACCCTGGTTTGATTCCCAGCTAGTGCAAAATCTTAGGCAGGCTTCCTTACTCCACACTCACATCTCTGTTGATCTAGCAGTAAGTAGGAACCCGATTGTTAGTCAATTGGCGGATCGCTTTCCAGGGGTAATAATCCCTCCAAAAGTAAATCAATTTGGTCATTCACTCCACCACTGTTTGTGGGACACTGCTGTGCGTCAATTTTCTGCCGCGTTTCACCCACAAAAAAAACACAGTCACTCCACTTTACAATATATTCTGTGAAGCGCTTTGAAACGTCTCAATTAATAATAATAATACTAATCCTTGCATTTGATATAGCGCTTTTCACGTCGGGAGGACGTCCCAAAGCGCTTCACAGAACACACACTGTAAAGTGAATTGACTGTATATTAATTGAGACGCAGCAATGTCCCACAAACAGTCGTAGATTGAAAATGACCAATTTATTATTGTTTTTGGTTTTGGAGGGATTATTATTAGGCTCTGTGTGGAGTAAGGAAACTTGCCCAAGGTTTCGCCTTGACCTGCCGGGAATTGAACTCAGGTCTCTCGCTTGCAAAGCGAGTGCTCTAACCACTGAGCTACAGGACTCCACAACAATTACATCATAAGGCGCAACATCAAATGCAAGGATTATTATTATTATTCTAATATAGATACATCTCCTCTATACGCACAGCTCCTATGACAGGGACACGAGTATGTTCTAATCTGCCTCTCCTGTTTAGGTCATGCCTCTGGTAACTCAACTCTTCCCTGGGAAATCTGTGGACGAGATTCTAGCGAGTGAACTGGGAGAACATTCCAGAGCAATCCTAAAGACCATTCCTCAGCTCTGCGAACCCTACTGCCCACCCACAGCTCAGAAAAGGTAGCCAAAGCCTAGCGGCTCTGAGCCGAGGGGGTGGTGGGGCGATTCTCTCCTTTCCTGTTTCCTCAAGTCCTCCTTGTTTGACTTTTTTTGAGGCTCAAAAGAGCCTAACTCATGTAATCCATGAAAGGTGATGTTTATTTGGTTGAGTCGCTCACCCTCTCACCTCGGGTCAGAGGGTTATGGCTTCAAGCCCCTTGTCAGGGTCTGAGTTCACAGTCTAAGCCAGTGGCGGTTAACCTGTGGCCCGGGGCCCGGAAGCAGCCCCCTCCCACTCTTCTGCCCCCGAACTTACGCACGAGTCTTGGTAAGTCCGTGTTCGATTGGTGGTGTGTTTTCATTTTTTTCTGGATCGAATACTTCTTGATTTATGGTATAAAATTGCTGTGCGCACAAGATATACAGTCAATTTCACTTTACAGTGTATCCTGTGAAGCGCTTTGAGACGTCTCGAAGACGTGACAAGGCGCTGTGTCCAATGCAAATACTTCTGACCCTTGGCGTCTGTGCTCACTTGCAGTCCATCAGTGATGACCATGAAAAGCCAAGAACAGCTCAGCCCCATCATGAACACTGACCAAGCGGCTGATAGAGAGACGCGCACACACACACTCTCGGAGACTGGAGATCGCTATTTACAAGCTTTACGCGAACAAGAGCATAACGAACAGATCATCATGAGCCGGAGGAAGGTGAGGCCATCCCAGTCCTGCCCTCTCCGACCCCACGTGCCATTTTCCTTTACATAGGCTTCTGTTTATTGTGTGGGAGACTGTACCCTCCGCGCACAGCCTTCACTGAAGGAGCCGGGGGGTGGGGGGGGAACATCCCGAGGCGCTGACACATACACAACGTAACCCCCATGCAGGACCCACTGCAACCCACCCACCCCACATACAGACCCCAAACCCCACCCCCACCCCCTCTACCCCCACTGTCTACAGTACTCCAGGGGTGACCTGACCAGAACTATATCAACCTTACTCTACCTGAGTCTATGCACTCGTCACGGGGCTCAGTTTGAGGCTGGAAGCTTGGTGGATGGTAAGTGGTGGTGGGGAGGGGTGGGGGCTTGAAGATGGCCTCGGCTGACCTACCTCTTCCCAAATATTCCCTCAGCTGAATTTGGAAGTGAAGAACACTCTCCGTGAGAGGATCCCATTGAGCTCCGAGGTGCCGAGGATCCCCCGACATCTCGCTCTCTGGTCCCAAAGATCCCGGCCCCGTCAGCCGGGCAGACGCTACGACTGGAAGAAACGCCGCGCAGCTTTGCTGAAGCCGCTGAAATGACAAGGGTTTAGTCAAGCCCTCGCGCCTCTTTCTCTCTCTCTCTCTCGCTCACAGCTAATAAAGTTTACTTAACAAGGACTAAGTTTATCCAGGTGAAATCTATGCATCACAGGCTTTGCCGCAGTGTGTACTGTGGACCCGCAGTGTGGTCAGTAAACCCTTTGAAGTGCTTTGAGACGCGCTCCCAATGCAGAAGATGCTGTATCAGATAATAAGGATGCTTGCATTTGATGTAGTGCCTTATCACGTCTTCGAGATGTCTCAAAGCGCTTCACAGGACACACTATAAAGCGAATTGACTGTATATTTTGTGGGCGAAACCCGGCAGCCACAGCAGCATCCTAAACAGTTGTGGATTGAGTGACCAAATTATTATTATTAATTTTTTTGTGCAAGGTTTACAATAATCCTTGTATCTGAATCATCACTCAGACGCACTGCAGACCTGATGTATCGCAGAGACCAGTAGCGGGAGTTAAGAGAAACCATAGTAATTTACAGCACAGAAGAAGGCCACTCAGTCCCTCATGTATGTGCCGTCTCGTTTAAAGAGCGCTCCTTTTCAGTCCCATTTACCTGCCCCTTTCCTCCCCCCCCACCGCCCTCAACACCCCGCACACCACACCACACAGATCCCTTGATGTACGGAAGAAAGTCCATCCTGACAATGTCATTGCCATTTGCCATATATTTATGAAACGATATTTATAAAGATTTACAAATCACTATTTATAAAAAAATTCATATTACAAAGACACGGTGCGAGAAAGATGTTGTTTCTTCCCCGTTTCAAGTTACCGTCAGTTTGGTTGGGTCCCTCACTCCCTACTCAAACCCCCACTTTCTCTTCCTCACTCACTCTCCCTCTCTCTCTCTCTCTCTCCCTCTCTCGCTCTTCCTCCCGCCAGCCCGCGCTCCAAACAAAACCACTATTGCATTTCGACACGTACGAAACTCGCTCATGGGAACGGTCGTTTCACGTTTACAAATAAAAGTCCAGTTTGGCCGCCACTGTTTTACAGCCCGTCTTGGAAAACAACTTGTGTTCCTCAGGGAAGTAGCTCATGGCGTTGACCACCTCCTCGATGAGATCGCCTCCCAGACCCAAACTCAGCCCCCGGGATAGCAGCTCGCTCCGCACGCACTCCCCCACGTGTTTGCGTTTCAGTGGCAGGAAAGGCACGAAGCGGTCGACTAACTCCTCGTTTATAATGTCGGAGTTCCAGAATCCGCCTGCGGACAGAGACAGAGAGAGAGAGAGCAAGGGAGAAATAATAATAATGATTCTTGCAATTGATACAGTGCCTTATCAAGTTGTCAAGATATCTCAAAGCGCTTCACACAACATATTGTAAAGTGGATTGACTGTGTATTTTATGGACGAAACACGGCAGCTAATTGCACACAGCAGTGACCCACAGGCAGTCGTGGATTGACTGGCCAATTTTTTGTGGGGGGGCCAGGGGGAGAGGGGAGAGATTACCCCCGGGAAAGCGAACTTCCGATCGACTAACAACCGGGTTCCTACTTCTGCTTGGAAAAACAGGCGTGTAGAGTAAGGAAACTCGTCTAAGGTTTCACCCCGACCGGGAATCAAACCCAGGTCTTTCCGGTTGCGAGACAAGCCCTCTAAACACTACACTCTGGGACTCCAGAAAGAGTGAGAGAGAGAGAGAGAGAGAGAGAGAGAGACTAGATCTAGATGTTCAGTCTGCCATCGGAACCTTGCATGACAATTCACTCAGTTCTCAGCGAACATATCAGGACATTGACCTCATGATGCTAATGCTCTGTAACCCAATGAATCTTTCACCTAAGTCAACTCTCAGATATTACCTTAAATATCAAACCGGCTTCTCTGTCTCTGTGGGAAGAGACACAACAGCCTTCACAGCACTCTCTGGCTCTCATCTAATTTATCTTTTTTAAAAAA